TCAAGCTACCTTTTAGTACTTCATAGTAGTACAGCATCTTGTTTGCAGATGGTCTGGTTGAGAGCAACTGATTGAAGGGGGAAGGGACCCAAAGCTGACTGACCTAATTGCTGTGTGGATTGAGAAGCTGGCAAAATCATTAGTTTCTTTTATATGTTTTCTTTCTATACTATAATAAAGATAAATATTGATTGCTAGAGCAATATTGATTGTAGGGGTCACTGCTGATGGCAGCTGCATGATTTGCACAAATATCTCCTGTGTACAGCGCTGCTTATTTGCATGAGAATGCAGCTTCACCATCCTCATATGTTGCAGGCTGTTCACTTCCCTTATAGGAGCATTTACCCAAACTATATATATCAGTGATTAGCAGTAAAATATGAAACAAAGGACTGAAACAGTTCATCTTCTTAATATGTTTTGTGTGTGTGACTGTCTGCTGTGGGTAAGTGGAGTTTATTGTCCCAGCCATGCAGAAAGAAGTGCAGGACACAAGGGACCTGCTGTAATTATGCTGCAACATCACCACCTCACTTGGGAATACCACCCAGCTGCACAGCACGCCTGAGACCGATGATCCTTCCTTCACCCACTGACCTAGACACTGAACACGCCAAGGCCCTTCACTCAGGCCTGGATGCCTTCCTCCAAGCTCCCAGCTTTGGGTCATCAGGGACCCAGTGTCCCCACAGAATGGCTTCGGCACCTTCTCCTGAGCAGAACCTGCCCGATAGGATCCTTATCCACTTGCAAGAGATGGAAAAGGCCCCTCCGGCGTGGGCCAGGCTCATGAGGAGGGAGGAAAGCTGCCTACCACAAGCATGGTGCCTATGGCAGAACACAAAACCCTACACTCAGCCAAGGAGGAGTCCTTGGGGTGTGCGGGACCGAGTTGTGGGAAACAGCAGGGGAATTTAACACCCCTTTTTATCACCGGTGCAAACCCCTGAGCGGCCCATTCAAGGTCAGGCACCTCCTGCCAGGGATACTGCTGCGTCTCTCCTCCACCCGCAACCTCTAGGAGGGAGGAAGAGGAAGGCAGAGGAGCAATCTGCGGAGACGGCCTCTTCACCTCCTCGGACACTGCCAGGCTGCAGGGAAAGCACTCTCTCCCGAGCATGTTATACATCTCTGCGTGTCTGTCTTATAGCTAGCAAACTGCATCTTATTCTGGGCAATCCTGCACTGTGAGGCTGCTACTGGCTGACCTGCTGATATTGAAATTCAAAGGAAAAGCATGCATATTTAACCCCAATTCATCATTTTGATTTTGATTAACTCTACAAGTCAGGGGCTTGCAGGCTTTAATCTTGTTTTAAGAAAATACTCCTGTCCTCTCTCCTCGGCGTTTTCCAACAGGAAATTCAACAGAAGGGTTTTTCCTATTATTTATCTCCTTCCACTTACTTGGACACATCGTGGACCTCTGAAATAGCTGCCCAGTATCTATCCAAACCATGGCTTGTTCAGTGCAGAGAGTGCTCTTATTTCCTCAGTGGCCCATAAGGAGGAGATTAATACTGGAATCCAGGTTTCTGACATGGTTATGCACTGACACTAAGCCACTTTAGCAGATGAGCAGGCACTCCATTTGGTGAGTACTATTTATATACAGTGAGTGAGTATTTCATAGATGTTTTTTGGAAGATCTTAGAAATACACCACGGTTCACAATGTTACGCTTCATTCTTCATTTCCTTTTAAGTATATCTCTCGGGGTGTTATGTTGTGTAGCCCTGTCTTACAAAATCAATTATTCCTTAGCCAGCTCAGAAATAAAACCCAAAGTAAGCAACACCAAATGTCTGATTTACCAATAGATTGCAATCCAGTGCTAAGGAGCATAGCCACTGCCCTGCTTTAAATATTCATGAAGCCCACTGGTGCAAAATGCATTGAAGGTGGGAATAATGCCAGTAATACACGATCCTCTTAGTGACAAGAAGCTTTCACATATTAAAGTAGCAAGATGTTAAAGACTTTCAACTGAACAGTCTTTGTTTTTAACCTAGAGAAAGAGATTCACTAATGGAATGCCAAATTGCATTCACTCTCATGATATTAGACTGCAGAATAGGATAATAATACATGTGTGCTTTACCATGCTGCAGAAAACCTGTTATTACAGTGGGTTCTTTTCTGCGTTTTCTTTGTACTTTCCAGAAAATGTTCACACACATGTCTTACCCCTGCGAGTAGCCTTCTACGTGCCAACCACCCTATCAGAATCCCAGGAATCTAGCCATTAACAGATTGATTTTATGCAAATAAAAAGGTTTTAAAATAATGGTGACACAGTACAATAGTACAATTTAACTGAGTGACAACTGGCAATGAATAACCAAAAAAAAAAAAAAAAAAAAAAAAAGAGTTAAACCAGAGACAAGGGACTGCAGAATAACAGACTGTGGCAATGCAGAATAATGTTAATTGTCGCTTTAAATCATCAGCAGCCCAGCCACATCTGCTATCACACCTGTGCTCTCTTCTCTGATCTACTCTGGCACCTAGAAATATTAGGCAAACAGCCAGCCTCAAATCTCCAGCTCTCTGCGGTCTGGCTCTGCTACCAGCTTGCATCCCTCTTACCTGGAATGGATCAGGCACTGACCCTGCACCCTCAAACTGTTTCTGATTGATAGGGGACACCACCGGTGCTGGGCTTGTTGCACTGTAACAACAGGTCCCAGGGCCACTGGGACCCACTGACCCCATTTGGATTTTACAAACCTCATCAGTCAGGTGAGATAGCTAAAGGAGCCCTGCTTACATCTGAAATTTGATCCGCATAAAAATAGTGATCAAATAATAAACTGACATTTCTTTTTGCACTTAATCTAAAGACATTTCCTGCACACCAAATCTTGGCAGGGGAAGTGGGGGAATATGTCTATCTGGTGCCAAACATGGAAATTCAATTAACGTACATTGGAAAGAGGGATCTGGGTCCCCCATACATAGTCCGCTTTTATTCTAGAAATAAGAATAACAAAGAGCTAACACCCAGAAGGCTCATTTTTTAGAAAGACTTTTATCCAAGACTAATCAGGGGGCAGGGATAGGAAAACAGGGCTCTGTTACGGCATATGAAGTTGTTTACTTCAAAGCAAACCTTTAACAGGCTTTACATGGTCTTTGTACTTCTGGTTGGAAATCTGCTTTCCTGCCTTTTAACAGTTTGTCTGGTAGCAACTTCCTAGTAAATGCCCTTCCCCGCTTACCACCCCAGGAAGCGTCTTCCCCTGCAGAAAGACCGGCTGTCAATAAAGACTGAGAACTTCAGCTTCTGCAGTCATTATGCTGCTCCATATACGCCAAGTTATTTCAAAGGGGAGGAATTAGATAGTGCAAAAGCTGCAGTGGGAACATTACTGGGGTAAGTTGGATCAGGCTATTTTATCGAGCTATTTCTGGAAAAAAATAAACACTGCTACTCAGTGCTTATGATTAATAATGTTATCTTGTAGCTAATTTTATTCCTTGCCCCTCTCTTCTCCTGCCTTCCAATTTGGAAGTGCACTTAATTATGAAAACATGAGCACTAGACTGTGAATTTTGATATATTAATTTTACCATGGTTTTTTTTCTACACCGCACCACCAAAACTCTCAAGGACAACCAGTCAAGGAGACAATGAAAATCCTGACACCCAGGGTAATTTCCTTAAGCAATGTCAGAATTAAGCAATTTCTTCCACACAAATCTCATTACATTATTGCAAACCTATAACCATGATACATCTTGCTCCTGTTTTTCAACACCACAATTTCTTTTGATGACTGGAGCCAGAGCAAGGCCTCTGTGGTTTGTTTACTTGGTGTTTTTTAAAGACTAGAACCAGAGGTTACTAAAAGCCTGGCAAGACAAAACCAAAATGAGCACAAATGGATGACCCTATTCCTAAGCTTCTTCACTGAATAGCAGAAATGTTCATAATTTCAGGCCTGACCAACAGTGCATGAATGCCTTGCCTGGATGAGGTCAGCTGCCCAACACTGGGCCAAATTATCATGTTCACCATTCATTCATTCATTGACTCCTCCCTCTGCTCCATTCCTACCGTCCAAGTTAGAGTTCAGGCAATGTTGCTTTACTGACGTCTCACTACCCAGTCTCTGTATCCATCCTTTAGCTACCACCAGCCCACAGCTTCAGAAGCACCATCCAGGCAACAGCTCAAACATTTGTATGATTATTTTCTTGTCTCTCTAAATTTGTATTAATTACTTAGATAGAATATGAGGATTAGCATTAAGGCAGTGTTAGAAGTACAGCTCTGTGAATAGCAGCTTTTTTGATCTGTTGACTGTTCCAAAATCACAATGAAATTACTAGTTTAAAGTTGACTTAATATATGCTTGCATAGTTTCTAGGCAAAATGAAAAATTAAAAAAAAAATTCTCAGTAGATAGAATTATTTTCCTTTAGCTTATGTGGTTAAGGTTTAAAATAATAATAATAAAACCAGAATAATTTTGAAAACTCTTTTAAAAAATAGAAAATAAAAAAATTTCCATTGAGAAAATGTCTAAATGTACGCTCTAATTATTTCAAACATTTGAGGGTTAGGTCTTCAACGCCAGCAACTAGGAAAAAATGAGACAGATATCCCAGTGTTTCTAATACCACACATGAATTAACATGATGATAATACTAATGATACTTTTTAACTGGAAAAGCTTTAGGTCAATTATTTTTCCCAATTCTATTTTTATCGAAGTATAAAGCTGTAAAACCCCAGATGGAATAACATAAGTTATAACAGCAACAAAATGGATAACTGTGTTTCTAGACTTTGTCTAAATTGTGCATGCTCCAGAATTATAAACCAGACTGTTTTATACATTTTTTCAGAGTAATAACCACCTCAATCACTGTGTGATGAATCTCTGGGTGCAGAAAATTTAATATGTAATATTTTTAATGCTTTCTAAACCACAGCGCCTTTAAATAATAAAACATTCATTAAAATAGAAGAGTAGACCAAATTACTGTACCAAACATCCTCTGCATCTTCGTCACACTCTGCCCCAAACTGGCAAATGTCACAGGTCGATGTCTCTTTTTGATTGGTTTCACCTGAGCCTTCATTGACTGTTTGATGGAAAGCAGAAGAATATACATTAGTAAAGACAGCACTGTAGCAAAGCACTTCTCTCTCTAGAAAAATCTATTCACCGCATCAGCTTAATGCGCGGCTCACAGAGCCGATACTTGGCCAACAGACAGTGTTTTTGAACGGTGCCAACCCGGAGATTTCCATGTTGGTCTGTGATAAATTCCCTGAATTATGGAGTTAAAAGGAAAACTGGAGAAAGACCCTTCTTCTTCATTTTCCACTTAAACAATGATTCCTTCAAGCTGCTGCTCGGGCAGGCTGTGTCACCACCGAGCCTCACCGCTTTGCTCCCTGGGAAAATAGTGGAGGTGTATTGATAGCATCACACGCTGCCTTGTGTCCTTTACGGGCGAAGGCCTTGAGATGGGCCCAAGGGGATGTTTTCCTCGAAAACGTTTTGAAATTACCTGCCATGTGGTGCAATCTAGTCCATTCCAAAAGGCAAAACATTTTTCTCTTCAGAAGTACAGCTATGAGCCCCAAGGACTAGTTATCTCTGGCACGAAAGATTTAGTGCTGTCCAGAGGAGAGGACGATCTCCAGCACAGGTTAAATTTGAAACCCAGGAAAGTCAGCACCCTTGTCTGCAATTGTGTAAGGTTTGTAACTGGCCCCTAAGTCAAAAACGTGAAGGGACTGAGGGGAAAATAAAAGCATGGGTATAAGAGGACTGCGAAAAAATGTTGACTGCTGAGTACTGAAATAGAGAGAGACACCACTAAGGTAGGCACCAAGAAGAGGGTTTTCTAAAAGATCCAAAAGAAACACCATCTATGTTTATATTAAAGTATATAAACACCTTTTGACATCTTTCAATAGGTGCTGCTTTCTAGCAAGACACAGTACCCAGTGATATCCTTCTGCTGGTTACAGAATAATTAAACCAATCCAGACTCTAAGTATCAATCAGCTTTCACTGATGTTATCTGCACAAACAACTTCTGCAGCGTTGTCTTTTCATTTGGAGTCCTCACTGTGGTGCAGGCTTCCTGCACATTCGGGTCCAACCTACCAAGGCTGGTGGACACGCTGAAGCATGTCGGTAGCCCCACTGACACTCATGAGATAAATCACTTGCCTGATGTCAAGCATCCACTGCATGAGACCCTGTTAACCTGGGTGTTACTGGAGGCTCTCGGGTTGGAGTGCTCTGACTTGGAATATGCAGCTTTTGTTATTTACTCAGGAAAGAAGAAGAGTCCCAAGCTTTCACAGAGCTGTCGGAGGAGAAAGGGCTTTTGCCCCTGAAAGAGACAGTGTGACCCTGATGCCTGCTTTCTTACCCTGGACAAGTTATTTAACCCCTGTCCTATTTCCCACTGTGTAAAATGGGAATAATACCACTTTCTACCAACAAAGAATATGGAAACAAGTTTATTATAGATCGTGATATGCTTAGATACTACAGTGATATAGACCACAGAAATACCTAAGGTAGATGGTTTGTCTCAGTAGCTTTCTCCTGAGGCTTAATATAGTCAAAGGAAGTGTTGGTATGTTTAGGTGTTGAGCTATACCGCAGCAATTTCTTATCAGTCTTGCTTGAATTTAGACTATATTAAAATGAAAAAAAATTACCTATGATAAGCATTCTGATCATCCTAAAAGGAAAAAAACAGAGGGGTTTGCCCTATTTGTAGAACTTTGCTCACCTTTATATCCACAAAGTTAATGTACAAAAAACCGAAGGGGAAACTCAGAAAACATAGTCTGGATTCCTGTTCTACTGCATTGTCAGGTTTTGTAGGGACAGTCGGAGCTGTGGTTTTTCTGTTTCATTAAATGACTGAGGAACTCTTTAGGCTCATATTTTATAAGAGCCAATATATGAAGGTGGTCAGGGTGTCCAAGGGCTGTGTCCTCACACCATTAGGATCTCCATGAGCCACCTGTGTGATCCTGACCCAACAGCACCGGGAGACTCATGCTGCTGTCTGTACAGCTCCTCCCCGCTTCTCTGCAGCTGCATCCAGGCCTGGGTTTTTCACTGAGTTTCATTTATATTTTAAATTTAGAAATCTTTTTTTTTCCTGAGGAGATAACTTTGACAGCCAATCTTGGCAGGGAATTTGCAGTGGTTAAGGTATTAGACAGGACGCATGATCTGGATTTATCAAGTCATGCTGCTTTGCTGTGCCACAGTTTCACCATCTGTGAAAGGGGAACAGAATATTTGGCAGATACTTTGGGTGCTGTAACGAATGACTGTATGCAAAGTACAATGGGATATATGGGCAGAAGACTTCTTATGACAGCCGAGCACTCCACGCCTACCAGGAATATAACAATTGCTCCAGTTCAGGAGGGTGAAAACGTATTTTTTATGGAAAAGAGCTATAATTTTAAAAATTCTGTTATTCTGCAAATCACTTTCCTTGTATTCCCCTTTAATTAAAACCATATACGCTATTTTTTTTTTTTCCTCCTTGTAGTGTTTCTATTTACAACTGTCCAGCAAGTGTGGTTTGACTAGGGACTTCACACAGTTCCACATCACAAGCTGAGTAAAACAACTACTTAAGTCATTAAAGGCAGGCATTGGAAAGGTTGAGCATTCTGAAGAGAACTAACTGATTTAGAGAGGAACATCCACATTAAGGCACAATGCAGTTCTTAATTTCTACCAGAAAATAATAGGTCACTCCTTCATATTTTTGTGAAGAAGCTCTGCATCCAGTATTCCATAATGAATGTACACATTGTCATTAAACGTCCAAGCATGCAGCGGTCTTGATTAAAAAAGACAGCTGTTTATCTCTCTCTCTCTCTTCTTCTGTTTTGAGTAACCACAGATAATATTATTCTTTACATTTCCTTATTTTTTTTTCCCTACACAAACACACACACTGGCATATGCACCCACACCCAGGACTGACACACACAGGGGCTTGTTTTCTCCGTGCTGTGCAGATAAGTGCTTTGATAAATCTGGACATCTTAGAACAGTTATTTTCCCAATATTTCCTGCTGGTTTTTAGCTTGAGGACTAGTGAATGCTCATTTTCTAAGGTGACTCTTTTTCCTTTTTTTTCCTCACTGCACTTGCTGATTTGCACTCGCTTTCATATCTAAACTGGAAAAAAAAAGTTAGCAAAAATAATCTAGTTTCTGGATTCCTCTTCTAAAAATAAAAGGAGTATGATTCTCTTTTCCTCACACAAGTTACACAGTTCTCATATTAGCAACTGTTGAGGTTTAACACCAAGACCCTGTAGGAACATAGTAGGGCTCCAGGGAGGCTAATCACTGAAGCCCACCACTTATTACTCACACAACTGAGAAATGTTAAGCTGCAAGTTCCTATTTGTATTAGTAAGATTAGCAAATTCCAGAGTTCAAGGAAATGTGCTAACATGGGTTAGAAGGTCACTAACATTATCTGAAAGTCACTTCAGAGACTATCTCAATCTCCTAAGCAGTATAAATTCTTTAGCTGGGAAGGCACTACACACAATTTACAGAGTCAATGGACTGCGGTAACCACAACAGCTCCTGTTTTAATCATTTGGTCCTTTTCTGGTGTTCTCAGTGCACTCAGATCAGATAGTTGTGATTTCAAGAATATCTGTATTGCTTGCTGTCCTGGTTTCGGCTGGAATAGAGTTAATTTTCTTCCTACTAGCTGGCACAGTGCTGTGTTTTGGATTTAGTAGGAGAAGAATGTTGATAACACACTGATGTTGATAACACACAATTAGTTGTTGCCAAGTACTGCTTATGCTAGTCAAGGACTTTTCAGCTTCCCATGCTCTGCCAGGTACACAAGAAACTGGGAGGGGACACAGCCAGGAGATCTGACCCAAACTGGCCAAAGGGCTATTCCATACCACATATGTGACATCGTGCTCAGTATATAAACTGGGGAGAGTTGGCCAGGGAGCAGCGATCGCTGCTTGGGAACTGTCTGGGTATCGGTCGGCGGGTGGTGAGCAATTGCATTGTGCATCACTTGCTTTGTATATTGTTATTGTTATTACTATCATTATTATATTGTTATTATTATCATTACTATTTTACTTTATTTCAATTATTAAACTGTTCTTATCTCAACCCAGGAGTGTTTCTCACTCTTACTCCTCCGATTCTCTCCCCGATCCGATCGGGGTAGGGGGAGTGAGCGAGCGGCTGCGTGGTGCTTAGTTGCTGGCTGGGGCTAAACCTCTACACTTGCAAGTCCCACAAGAAAGAAACCATTTTGGAGGCATTTTACTTGGTTTCCATAGCTAAAAAACCAGACTGAAAGTATCATCAGTAGATTGGTCTGACTCTGTGTTTACCTCCTGTAATATCAGGAGAAAACAAAAGGCCTAAACTGTCCCTCCGCCATACACACCTCTACTTTCTCTTTACACTTCAATCTCTTTGAGTCAAGAGTCTTCTGTAGGCGCTACAACCCCAACAAATCGTGCTACAATTTTATCCACACAGCTTCCCAGACTCATGCTCTACTGAGCTGATGACTGGAGGTTTAGCTGTTTTAAAAAATGGACACCAAAATCCCTGTGCTCGAAATTCTTGCTCTGTGTCTTCCAAAGATGCTTGATGACTATCAAAGGCAGGATGGAAGTAAACTCTTTGCAATTTCCAGAAAAGCAGCTCCAATGGGATGGTTAGGAATATGCACAGCAGCTCACAGTCTTGATCTGATATACAAAGTGCCACCTATTTCCTAAGTGACACAAGGGATGTGCACATAACTTGCCTGACAGAGCGTACTGTGAGGAGTAAATGGAAGTGGGAAGAGGAGCTGGTGAGCCATGAGGGAGAGAGAGGGTTAGGTGGCAACATTGGCTAAACACAAATGTCTCAATCACTCTTCGCTAACACGCCTCAGAAGGCAACAGGGCAAACTCAGGAGAGTCTCAGTTCAGTTTTCATGTGGCTTTGTAGGAATACTAACATTATTATAATAATCCTTCTTCAATATATTTTAACTATAGCGGAGAACACAACAAAGAAACAGCATAAAACATCA